TGTGTGTGTGTGTGTGTGTGTGAGAGAGAGAGAGAGAGAGAGAGCGCCGATAAATCTCCAACCTCGTGGCTCGCGTCATGCTACTTCCATCGATAGGATAGCAAAATCGGAATGAATCGTTCGTGTGTGTGTGTGTGTGTGTGTGTGTGTGTGCCGCACGAAAAACAGCGCGGCTCCGCGTCCCGAAGCGCCACAGCCCAACGCAGACCCGGGCCGACGTCAAACCAATGCCGCGCGCACGGCGAAACAACACGCGGCACGGCCGCCCGCAGGACGCTCGCCAAACGCGCCGAAACGACACGTGCCGCGAGACCCCGCCCGAATGGGACTGCCTCCAAAGCGACACGCGCCGCGACACCCGGCCCGAATGGGACTGCCTCCAAAGCGACACCCGCCGCGAGACCCCGCCTTTCCTCCTCGGACGAACGTGCCTGCGCCGCAGGACTACCTCCTCGCCTCGTTCCCGTCATGCAGTTCCCGCTGGGCCCAACGACTGCCGTTACGCTGGGCGCTTTGCAGTTTTTATAAGGTATATATATATATATATATATATATATATATATATATAAGTACAGCTATCTTCTCCTCATGTGGGGGACAGCTGTATTTTTTTGTGTACCCTATTTTCTTGTCTCTTTTTACCTCACACTAGCTACCCCCGTATCTATGTCCTATCCGCAAGCCCTACAAGGCAGATAATGGATCACTTAGCATCTGTTTTAAAAACTTGACGACGGTATTTTCGCAAGTATCCCTCTTGACGAGCGTATTTTTTGACGTATGCTTCTTGCACCCAGCCTTTGCGGCTGAATAGTACACACATGTACCTGTCTCATGAGTTTAAATCATAGCTACTATCCAGACACCCGGACAGGGATCCGGTCTGTCCGGAGTCTGGTGTCTGGTCCAGGTTTCTGGATCGCGGTCCGGATGGTTGGAAAATGGTGGGTAGGCCAATTTTTTTTGGGGCGGCCCAGGTCGTTTTCTTCCATTCTGGGCCGCCGTGGAAAAATACTGGGTGTTTTTTTAGGTGTCATGTGTGGCATCCAGACAGGGCCGGACGGAGGCCCTAAGTCTTCTTTCCCCACCTGTATCTTTTTGGTATGTTGTCGTTGGCATAAGGCCCGTATCTTTTCCGTATTTTACTATTTTAGTATTTTGTCATTTGCATAAAGCTGTTACTGTGCAGTATCAGATGCGCCCGTATCTTCCCAGGATAGGGCGCCTAGTACATTCCTCTCCGAAACATTGAACTTCTAATAAAAAAAACGAAAAAAGAAGATCCCCCCCCAAAAAGAAAAACAGCACCTGCCAGAACGGATGCCTGCAAGGGGGCTTTGGGCCTCGCTCCACTACTCACCAAATGTGCAAAATGAGAATGAATCTTCCGCCAGAACATGGAAACACCACCATCTCTTTTGTCTTTTGCATGTGGTGAGTATGCCCACCCTCCAAGGGAAACCTAAATCTGTTTTTTTTTTTTTTTTTTTTTTTTTTCCTTCTTGTTTTTGGCAAGGGCTTTCCTGTGTCCTTTTGAATGTGCACGTACCTTTCTAGGACTGGACACTTCGTACATTCAAGCCAAAGACAAACAAGAAATGAATATGCCGTTTTCAGATAGGGGGACAACTGTCCCCAGTTTCCCTCTGCCCACCACTTGGCAGGTTCCATGAGTGCTTTTTTCTTCCTTTTTCTTTTTTTTTTGTCCTTTTCTTTTTTTTTTAAATAATTTGGACAAATTTTGGACCATTTCTCGATCTATACGTGTCATCCTTCCGGAGGGGCTAAAAATAAAGGCCCTGGGAGCTACCCCTGTTACCGCTTTTGCCCAAAAGCCTGAACCCCTTATATGATTCTCTTGAAGACCCTGGTATTCTGACCTCTGTTTACTTTGTCTCTGTGTAGACCCTAAACCCCAAACCCTCAACTATAATTCTGTGTTGATGAAAGCATCATCAGTCTTCCTTTCCTCTGGGCGAGGGAGTCCTTTCCCCTTTTGGATGTCGCTTTATCCCTTATTCCTGTGCTCTTGCCGTGTTATCCTCATCTGTGGGCTTTTCGAGAAGTAAATAGTCCGCCCGTAGTTGTCCGCTGTTGGTAGCTCCTTTCTGATAAAGAGTTGTGCCGCTCTTTCCCTCCGATATAATCTTCTCGTATTTCTGCCTTCTTGCTGTTTATCGACTCAATGTTGTCAAAGCTCCGTCTCCCCCGCTTTTGCTGCTCCTCTTCTTCTGACCTTGTTTGCTTGGGTTTCCGCCATATTCAGTGAATCTCGGCCTGTACCCTTGATTGGAATCCGCTCAAAACTTTCCCTCGTGGGTTGGACCGTCCTTCAGTTGTTCTGCTGTCCCTCTCTTTCCATATGACCCGTCGCGTCACGTTCACGGTGAGACCAAACCAGATAGTTTCTGCCTTTCGAGACCGATCAGAACTGTTAGTCAAGAGGAGAAGCTGGATGGGATGCTCAGGAAAGGGGGATGGGAAGATTGAAATCCAAATCGCTGAGGCTCTCGCTCAGTATCTGTCGTGTCCTTAGGGTTGGGGGCAGTGGGGGGGTTGTTGGGTCGTTGTGGTGGAGGGTCCAGGTGTGGGGGTATATGTCCTGCTCCATAGTGGGCAAGACCATTGAGCCCCAAAAGTGGGAGGGGCTGGCGATAGGGGTATCCTACCGTCTTCCCCCGAACATAACGCACCCTTAAAATGAATGAATACAAGTTGTATTTCCCGCCAGATACAACCAAAATGAGGGTGCGTTGTGTTGGGGGGAAGACGGTAGTAGTCTGCTGTTTTAGTTGACAACATCTTACCTTTCGCTGTTTGAATAATGCTGAGCCTTGGCGGGTTAGAGGGCTCGAAGGGTGAGTGTGTGTTGGGGGGATCTCCCTTGCCTCTAGTCCCAATTCACGAAACGTAAGCTACCTCCTTCTAATTTTGCAATTCTATCTCCAAAAAGCCAAGTTTTTTTGAATCTTTTCCGACTTAACTCCCTCTTGTCTGATTGTATTGTCTTCTGCTGTTCTTTTTGCTCTCTGGACCAGCGGGCTTCCGTTTGTATTATTATTTTTATTTCTGTCCATCTCTCTTCTATGTTTGGTAATTGACCTTCTATGGTACCTTTACACCTTGCCYTCCAAATTACCCACAGCGCTGCTCTCCTCCATAAATCAGCCACGACAGTTGTTTCTTCATCTATGTCCACATTTTCTAGTCTACCCGCTAGGAGGTACAGCGGGCTGCTGGGAAAGTCGTGTCCCGTTAGTTTACCCCAGAGACTCCTAGTTCTACTCCACACTTCTTGTGCTTGGTGGCAGGATRTTAAACAATGGACCAGAGATTCCTCAACRCTGTCATTGCACACCTTGCACAGTGAACTTTGCTGTTGGGAGTCCTCGTGTTTCCTCCTTTTGGCCAGCCATTGATTGACTGGCACTGCCCAGTAGAGTACAAGCCACTGCAGACTTCTGATTCTTACCGGTCTTATGTTTGTGTACTGGGTCCATGGGATTTTATTAGCCCATCCTGCGCTTTCACTGGGGGGGTGTTGGGTCGGTGTGGGGGAGGGTCCAGGTGTGGGGGTATATGTCTGGGGCTAATCAGTTTAATCATTTAAACACTGCAGAATAAAATAATTCTGAATCACCTGGGGCTAATCAGTTTAATCATTTAATGATGATATCTCCAGGCCGTTGCCCTTTGGAAAAAAAAAAGAAAAGCCAACGGCATAATTCAGCCCTTTGCCACTTTGTGGTATTCCCATGAACTGTTGAGGTGCAGACCCGAGATTGAGCATTCCCCCCACAGTTTTTTTTTTTGTTTGTTTGTTTGTTTGTTTGTTTGTTCTTCTTGCGGAAAATATAGGGGTTCCAGATAGGCATCCGGACAGGGGTTCTGGACCAGTCCGGATATTCTGGAATATTCCGGTTTTCCGGAAGTCCGGATGGGGCCAGGGAGCCCGGAGTCCAGAGTCCGGTCCGGCGTAGCTATGGTTCAAATCTTGACTGTGAATCACAAGGACACAATAGGCCGTCTTGCAAATTTATATGTAAAAATGATTGTTGTAGAGTTTAAGTATGGCCACGTCGATCATTGATGTTATTGCGGATAAGCATACTGCGGTGAATATGTTATTATAATACTAGTATCATATGCAAGGAAAATGAGCAATTGCAACATGACAAAATCCAGATTGGACAATCACATTGAAAGCCAGAAAGTATCCCAGTGTCCGGAAAGCAGCATTGCACCAATAAAACACCAATGGGGAATCGTAACACTGAAAACCGAATGTCAATGAGGGCTTGCTCTCACAATCACCAACATAAGTATCCAGGTCCTTCCCCCTACTTGGCGCTCGGCGCCCAGCCTACTCCCTGCACAGATACTATCTGCCTACTAATTGACAATGCAACTGTTGACGTCAGCAGCCAGCGAAGTACTTGAAGATGTCGACCAATGCAGACCATCGGCAATACCAGGTATGCACCCTCACATCATCATCATCATCATCTCCCTGCCTTCTCCCTTGTCTTTCACCCACGCCTTCCCTGCTGTACACCCGAAGACCACCCCTGCGCCTTGCTGTACATCCAAGCCCCAGCCGGCTATGGAGGCTGGGCTATGGCGCTGCCCTCAGCAGCGCCCTTCCTCCTACATGACCACACGTGCGCAGCACCTTGCCTTAGCGCCAGCAGCAGCCCACGAGTCTCTTCTCCAGCAGCGCTGCCGCTAGCTTGCAAGTGCCCGAATGCACCTCCAGGTGGCAAGCTCTTTCCTATATGGAAAGAGTCTGCCTGCCCCTGCGGCCTGGCTGGGCTGGGCCTGCGCCCAGAAGCTTCCTGTAGGCCCCAAGTGGCTGGGCCTCTGTTGCAGCTGCTGGGCCTCGTTCGGTTGTGCCTCCCAACTGTCTGTGTATGATGCTGCAATTCATGCCCAGGGCCTGCATTTCAGAAAAGGCCCAGAAGGCCGTGGAAAATATTTGCAGCTCGGGTCCTGGGTTCCTTCAACCAACTGACACGACACAACTGCTTGAACCCCAAATACGAAATTGACAGCATTGGGCCTCTCGTGAGGGCGGGCACATCTGTATCTGGGGCCCCTTAGGCCGGCTGAGGAACCAAATCCTCGCACATATATAAACCACAGCCCCTTCTTTTCTTGTCCTGTTCTCCCTCTCTGCCTACAGTTTACCAGGCAGCTCTGTTTGGCGATGTATAAACCACCTACAGTGCCTACATGTAAAAACAAAACAAAAAAGAACTCCTAGATATGGTTTCCCCTGCCGGTCTCGACGGGTAGGGATGTTGCAGATGTAGCGTATTGCTGTACCTTGTGGTCCTCCTTTGTCATTCACTTGCTCTCCAGTGACAAATTTCTTTTCCCTTTTTTCTCAAAAAGGGCAGAAGCCTTGGGACATCATTATTGAGCTGACCGGCCCTAGGTAATTCAGAATTACAATATGTCCTCATCTGCTTCCAGTGGAGTTTGAACTGAGGTCTGCATTTCAACAGTTTAGGGGTGTTACCAACAACGGAGCTAGGGTTTTGCACTTGTGTGCGGCTTCTTTTTTCAGACATAATTTGTCTCACGACTTGCGCTCTTAGACAGGTCGGACTACCTTCTTCCCCCAAATACAGTGTACGGTCATTATAGCTGTATTTAGACTGAAAGATGCCCCAAATACAGCTATAATGACCGTACGTTGTTTTCGGGGGAAGAAGGTAGGCCTGTTGGTACCGGTGACAACATCTGTTTCACAACTTGCGCTCTTAGACATAATTTGTCGGATATGTGACAAAATGTGATGTGAGTCATGAATGATGCCAGCGTTTTGCACTCGTGCGGCTTCTAAATGTGCGCGATTTGTTATCGCAGGTTACAGCAGAATCTTCAAAACATATATATCAGTTAATTGAGCGTATTGGCAAGAAAAAAGTGGCGCCTTCAGGGCAGAGTGTGAAGTCAATTGCTACACATGTCAGAGGTTTGGAAAGCAGTGGTGGTATAGCGCGATGGAGGACAGTGCGAGGGTCGCCACCTCAGAAGATGCTAGCTGGGAGTGTTAGTGAAACTGCTGATGGTACACCTCACAAAGGTCAGGCACTGAATCAGACTCTGATCTTGCTCGTTTGTCTTGCTCGTTTGTCTTTTGCTCGTTTGTCTTGCTCGTTTGTCTTGTTGCTCATTTGTCTTTCTCCCATTTGTCTTGCTCGTTTGTCTTTCTCGTTTGTCTTTCTCATTTGTCTTGCTCGTTTGTCTTGCACGTTTGACTTGTTCGTTTTCAGCATTGGCTTGCTTGCAAGAAAAAAAATATAAGATGAATCACCAAGCATGACAGCGTTGTCTGCACTGATGAGCATTGACGCACATGAGACACAGCTATGATATGATTGCAATTTGCAACTAATGATTATGTACGTCATTGAAGAGAGCCTGCATTGCATCCTTCACTCCTTCATTACTTTTTACAAAAAACAACGACATTCGACTGTAATGCATGCCAGTCGTCGCTCCCCAACTGCTAGCCTACCACTCGTTACTAGTAATTAGCCAGCCTATCACTACCTTCTTCCCCTGAATACAACGTACAATCATTGTAGCTGTATCTAGACTGAAACATGCCTCAAATAAACAGCTATAATGACAGTACGTTGTATTCGGAGGAAGAATGTCGCCTATTCTAGTGTCACCACTTGTCAACCAATGTCGTTCATCACAATGTTGCTCCCATGTAGACTGGCCAAGAAACAAGCATCATTGAAGCTCCAATGTTAAAGGCATCCCAGGTTAATCTCCTTCTCTCCCTTCTCCTGACTCGTGTCTCACCCAAGCCCGCAGCAGGCCCTCGCTGATGGCACCCTTGTGATGACCCGACCAAACACTGACTGTGACACAGTTGATTTCTGAGGTTTGCTCGCGGACCGAATGCCTTGCTGAGTTTCCCGCTTTCTACTAAGTTCTGCATGACTGTGTGTATGTGCACGCTTGCTGGACTGCATGTCTGTCTGAGTGCTGGTTTGCTTTAGCGTGTGTGTGACCCGCAAGGGCACGTGTTCGTTCGTTGGGCCGTCAGGGCTGGTACTTACCTGTGGCCGTGACATTGAGGATTGCAGCAGGCTGGTACCGCACCCTGAAGAGGTAGATGTGCGGGTACTGGAGGCCGAGCAGAAGAAGACAAAAGTGGCATTTTGAGAGGCCCAGTAGTTGTAGGCTAGGTCTAGGCGGGTGCCAGTCCAACCAGTCTGAGTCTAGGGCCTGTACGGGCAATATCAGAGTCTGCAATGATGTTTCCCTCCGAAAGGGAGAGGTACCGGTTGCTGGGAAGGCCGAGCAGCCTGGAAGTCACCGCCCAAGAGGCAAGCAGGCCGCTATATCTCCAGGCCGGGCGAAGAGCCCAGCCTCATTGTTGGTGTGCAAGTTTGGCGACACACTGGTTGGAGCGCTGGCTGGAGCAGCGCTAACAAGAGCAGCACTGCTGGGAAGGAGCAAGGACACAGAGGAGGAAGAAGGACAGGAGGAAGGGGGAGCGCCAGAGGTACTTACCTGACTATAATGGCAGCCATCTTCATCACCTCAGCGGGCGCTGCAGCAGGGAGACCCCAGCTGGGGTAGAGCTACACCAAGAAGTTTCGAGGCAGAGTCAGGCATGGCGGCCTGAGCTAGAGCAGCCATAGCTGCTTTGCGTTGTCCTTTGTACATCAGGGCAAGGCCCAGTAGTCCGCCATAGCCTCGGCCTATGAGAGTGAAGAGTGAGGGAGGCGGCCATTGCTATGGTGGACCTCGAGTGGTACCTGCAGTAGAAGAGGAACTCGGACATTGATTCTGGATCAGCCATTCAACATTGTACTATTATTGCTTGTGTGAATAAGAGAGGAGTAGTAAAGGAGGAGGAGAGTGTTTGGCAAAGAAGAAGAGCCTTGTCATTTGTCTATGCTGCTGTACATCATCTTCTTCTTTTTTCTTTCTTCTTCTTCTTCTTCTTACCCTCTCTCTCCTCTCAAGTTCATTCATTTCTTTCTGCAATTGGACTAGATTATACTATCTGATGAATGTGTATCTCGAAATTGGCCAGGATCATAACACCCACCTCTCTCTCTCTCTTTCTCTTTCTCTCTCTCTCTCAGACACACACACACACACACACACACACTTTCTCGAGCCCTCTCCCAAGCCACCCCTGCTTGGCGCTCCAGCTTGTTGCAATGGTTGCAAACAAATGTCTCAAACTTCGAGCTCACACCTAACATTCGTCAATTGGAGTGCATGATCCGTGGGCTACAGTATTCACGACAGCCATACGACGGCCCTGCACATGATAGGGTTTCGTTCTTACATTTCATTAAGGTCATGCACATGCATCAGGTTGCTCGCACCACACAGTTACGGAGCGTCCTTCGGCTTCCAGAGATCGCTGAATTACATCCACGACCTGCTCTTGCCAAGGAAATACGTATCTACGACAAGATGGTGCCACCCATACGTGTCCAATTCTGTAATTTTACAGAAGTGGCACTCGGCATAACAAGCAATATTCCTCTTCCAGACCCTGGCAATTGTCCTTGTCGACAAGTATTCCCACGATGTGTAGACACTGTTGATGGTCATGTAGCCACAGTGGACTACACCATTATACAAGATACACACTTACGAGCTCTCTTTTTTGAAGGCTCCTAGTAACGCCTCGATGTTGACACCAAAGATGTGATGAAAGCATTGAAACTCCGTCTGGACGAGTATATTGCTAAATTTATAGCAACCATGAGAACATCACGAATATCGAGTCTCTGATTGCCGACAGTCTCTCTCAGCTGCGCAGATGGCGCACATCAGTTCTTTCAAGATGCCAACGGAATATTAATGCGTCGCTGTACCAAGCACCTACTCAAACTGCCTCGCGTGCTGCCAACACATCTCTTCGGCAGCCACAACAGCAATTCGCTATAATACCTGTCTATAAAACATCACACAACATGGCAATCTGCTGCAAGCGCTGGTACGAGTATAACTTATCACAACATCTTGACAGTTCCACCTACAATCAAGCATCAGAGACTGTGGCCAGCATCCTCGAACGCCATGCACTTTTCAACCAACGTTGGGGCTATCGACATACTGACACCCTGGCCTATCTCTACTTTGCACCCAAAGCACACAAATCTCCACCTGCCCTTCGTTCGATTCTTGGAGTTACACAACGAAACAACCTTTCCCGATCTGCACCTTGCACAACAGACCCCCTCATAAGCCTTTTGCAAGTACAACAATGGCCTCCCGGTCACTTAGCTACGCCCTTCAAGGTGTGATCAAGTCCCTGCGCAGTAAGGATAATGACCTTTATCAAGAAATTGGTGTACGACGTTGCTGGATCGTGCAAAGTGTTGAAGAAGTCATTATGGATCTCAAGCAGAATGCACAATCCCTTCGAGGCTGTACACCACATATAGCGGACTTTACAACTATGTACACGAACCTACCACACGACAGGATTCTTAACAATGTTCTGAATGTTGTTCGTGAAGCACATGATTATGCTTTGGGGCGGATGTCACAGTCCAGAAGGCCAGTACAAATGTACATGACTATAGGTGGTCCTCATCGTGGGGAGTGGGTTACTTCACATGGGTCAGACACCCTCTCAGTGTCAGAAATAGAGCAACATCTACGGTTCGTGGTCTCTAATACTTACCTTTGTACAAGGGATGGCACTCTGCGCCATCAGGCGGTCGGTATCCCTATGGGCACTAACGCTGGACCAGAAATTGCCGACCTCACGCTTTATTGGGACGAAGCATAGTTCATCGATGATGTTCGTCAGCGAGATCTGCGTGCTGCGCAAGCATATGCATTCACATATCGATTCATTGATGACATTCTATCCTGGAAGACATTACCGCCGTCTCCTGCTTAGTATGGTCTTGAGTGGAAAGAGACTACTGAGCAAGATGGGTCATGTCTTTTCTTTGGGGCAAGAATCCTGATTCGGCCTGATGGCTCACTTCGCGTTGGCGTATTTGATAAGGTCGAGACCTGGACGTTCCCTGTCATACATTATCCCAGTGCTTCCTCCAACGCTCCGACTCATCAGCCTGCAGGTGTGCTCACGGGACGACTAACAAGATTCAAACATATATGTAAACGCTGGCTATCAACTCATGTCACACGACTTTCGAACTGGTTTCGTCGAATGGTTCGCTGGGCAATCGCTCACCCACTTCCGAAAGCTGATTCAATGCGCAGGTCCTCCACCCAACCACACACAAGAGACCACCACTCGTCGCCTGACACCAATGTTGACCGCATCCAGCATCAGCCCTCCGCACAATCAAATGCAGACCACCCGCCCCCCCCTGTTATCCGTGCTGAAATAGCAGACGCTAATGTCAATACTCCCACTCAGCCAGAGATCATGCCAGCCGCAGTAAACAATGTGAACGTTACCGAAATGGCAGTAAGGGATGAAGGCCAACATCCTACAAATACAACGATTGTTGTTGTTGTTGCTGCTGCTGAAGGTATACCTCCTCCTCTGACACTGCTGCCACCGCTGCCTCCACCACCACCACCACCCCCGCCACCACCACCACCACCATGGTCATCATTATCAACACCACCACCACCATCATCACCGCCACCCCCACCGACGTCCTCTGTTGCAGCATCCTCTCAGTCATCTGCATCATCTTCTTCTTCCTCTTCCCCTCCTACTTCCTCTACGTCCTCATCATCGAGCTTGTCATCAACGCACTCATGGTCAGATCGACCGTCACAAAGGCCCTGTCGGCCGAGGTATCCGTTGTTAGATCGATCGTTACAAATGCCTCTTAGGCGGAGACGTTCCCCGTCTCCACAACAGCCTCCAAGACAGCGGCCTCATTGTTGTTGAATGGCATGATCACCGCGCACCCTGCAGGGGTTAGAGATCTGCTCCGACAACATGCTCGCAATCGTACGGAACGACATCGTCGCTTTCATTATACACTAGCGAGGAATAGTGGACATCGAGTCCGATGCCCGCAACGTGGCGATGATTTCTTCAATGCTGCAGGCTTACGAGTGCACCAGACATGAGGTGCAGCTACTTGTGCAGTGTTTGCA